TGTCAAATTTGCATTTAAAAAAGTAATTTTACCAAAATTTTACTATTTTTTCCAATCGTTATATTAAACAAAAATCTCATATTGATTCAATTTTGTGGAACACACTGTACAATATTCGATAGTATAATCGATAGAAAATGATCATCGAAAATTTCAAAAAATACAGTATAGTTCGTAAAGAATTAAAGAAATAGTTAAAACTTCCATAGCAAGAGTTATAAAAATGTATTTTTAAAATAAATTATAACTAAAGAGTAGAAACCCTTCGAAGTGTGTCATGTAAAATTAACGCCCGTATTGAAATAATTTATTGGAGTAAAGAAGCCGTCGTTTGTCGTGTTTTTTAGCAAAACTTCCATAATATTTTTTATGGTTTCCATCTAATAATTGTAATTAGTTTACTGTCTCTCTCCCTCTAATATAGTTTGGGGTTGTTTTTTTTTGGTAAGGATACTTTGTATCGATTGGAGACATTTCAGTTTCAAGAAATAGAACGATGTCATAATGTTTATTCTCGTATACGATACACGGTACGCAGCGGGTTAAGTGTACCTATTACTATTAAGTAATAGTTATCCACCTAGCCGTGACTGTATGACATTAAGCAGAAAGCGTTTGTCACTGTCACAGTTCACAGTTTCAACAGTAAAAGTGTGAATTATTTGTGAAAAATAATGGAAGAAATATCTCAATTTTTTTAATCATATTTTTATACGGTTGTGGATAAAAGTTTTACGCGCCAAGTCAGCAAAGTGTCTTTATCGAACTCGTCTGATACTCTTCTCGGTCTCCCATAATAGTTCGATAAACAATCACTTTGCTTACATATATGCATATTATTTAGTTTCAGTTTACAACCCCACCCACGTCTATAGTTTTTGTTAAATAAAAACTTATGTCAAACAGTAGAGTCCGTTTGCAAGTTTCCAAAAAAATCACAATCATTTCCAGTTACCCGGTATTTTATTTCCGATACTAGTAAATAAATCAACAGGTCGTAATTTATATGAACTTTGCCACAAATTTTGTTAAAATTCTATAAACAAATCACCAATTTTGAATTTAAATCATTATTTAATTTTGCCGTAATTATTGTCGATATATTGTTAAAATACTAGCAATACATTGTATTGTTATTATTTCTATTAATTGGAATTGTAATAAATATGCTTTCAATTATCCATTTTGCAACCACTTCTGGTCTTCAAAGAGCAATCAGTTTATTGATAATTATTTTTATTATAATGATGATTTTGTTATTCAATTTAAATAAATACATGGTATAATTATATTTATTTTATTATTCATTCACAACCAGTATCAGTTATTCTTGAATTAAATAAATCTATTTCATGATCTTCATTAACTGTCTTTACAGGTGGTTAATTTTCTCAAATAGTGGAGGAAAAATAGAAGAAAGTTAGAAAGAGCAGATATTATTGAAGTATCTATCGATTGGACCGGACTGGCAGAAAAGATTCAGTTGAATGACCAGCCAAATCACCAGATTAAAAACCTTTGGTTATTTTCGATGGGAAAACTTAAAAAGTTAATGTTTTTGGTAATTTCTAAAAATTCAGGGTGTTCTCTGTTCGATTGGAAACCATTACCCCCAGGGTTATGCCCCTGACAATTTTGTATAACGATTTATAATTACGTTATGAAATTAATACAAAAAAACCGAAAAAATAAAAAATATATCACCCTGTATCTGTTTCTACAGCACTTTGTTGGTCCAATCCTCATAATTTTGTACAAATGACCTACGCTTACTATGAGTACATGGGCGTCATTTGGGGGGACAAGGGAGGCAGTTGCCCCCCCCTGGCTTTTACGACTTTACAACGCGTAATAGCTAAATTAAGTACTAAAATTTAGCCCTAAATTAAGTTATTAATTTAGTACTAAATTTAGAACTAAAAATATTTTTTCCTTTTGCAGCGATGCCAATTTTTAATACTAATATAGGCGCACGCACATTGACATATTATTACGTGAAATAAGCACAGAAATGAAATATTCTGTTTTAAATGAGACAAGTGAATTAAAAGTTGTTTTTATTATGACTTTGACACTAGTTGACTTGACAACAACCAAATGCAGCAATGCTACTAAAAACCACGAAAAAACACAATAAAACCTACAAAATCAAACACAAGCGAAATTTGTTCAAGGCGATAATGCAAAATTGTCGCTAGTCAAAAACAAAATGGTGCAGAAAAGACCGTTGTGTCAACTTTTTCTGAGAAAAACATTTCAACGCATTTTTAATATCAAATTTAGTAGAAAATAGAACAAGTTCCAATTAATTGATTAATTTTTTTTAGAACTAAATTTAATACTAAATTTGCTCTTTGCATCGTGAATTTTTTTTAGTACATACTTAAAAAATGCATTAGGTTAGTTCTAAATTTACTACTTAATTTAGTATCGTAACCTACAGCCTAAATATATGAATTACTGATATTTCGTTAGGTAGATGTGCCACAGTTTGACAACACTGTATGAAATAAAATTACGTAACTAACACAATTACACAACTGGCACTGGTTCATATTGTCGATTGTCGCCGTGCACGCATAACAATAAACACAAGGATAGTAGCCTTTAAATTGATTGTATTGTTTAAGGAAATAGAAGAAATAGGTAAACATGACAGGTGTAGAAATCTAAATGTCACGAATTACGCACAACAATATCATAGAAATAATATTCCGGCTAATACAGTTGACGAATATTATAGGTTGAATATATTTATTCTATATCCATATCTTACACGTACCTATACATTTTACTTTTTTTTAAAGTAGGTAAAAACATAAAAAAAAGCAATAGCAGTTGCTGGGTTGTAAATTGTAAAAATACTAGGAGAAAAAACAGTGTAAATTATATAAATTTTCAGTAGCAAAATGGAAATTAAATCAAAGAAATAAATGGATACATGTACAATAAGAAGAAAAAAACTTTTATTTTTGTAATATTGGGTGCTATGATTGAACGTTTACGTTATCCGTAACGTACATGTTAGGCAGAGTTTTAACAGTAATGAGGCAAGTTCGTATGATAATTTTGTTAATTTGCATTGCTCTTTTATTTTTCGTTTTCTTTGTTTTTCAACAAATAAATATTCTAAATTTTTTCAAAATTTTGCCCCTCCCTATAGTATGAGTATTAAAAAAAAAGGAACAAAAATAACTAATATATTAATATTTGAAATCACATAATATCAAAAATCAATTCAATTAAACCTGATTGCTTATTCAAATTGTAATATTTAAATATAACATTCTATAATAGGTACTTTGACATTTCTGGATTCATTCTGAATAAATGATTCTAAAACTGTATTAAACAAAGGATCTAAAACAAATTAAATTAATTAAATATTTTCTTTTATTTAAAATTAATGTTACATAGAATCTTTTTATTTGGGGTCAAAAACATTCAATATTATTTCGCATTAAATCATTGAGATTATTCAAAATACATTTTTGGATCTAATATATTTTGATGTTTTTTAAATGTATTTGTTTACTTTGTAGATATAAAGAAAGTTATTCTTCATAAAAAGTTCTGCATTATCTAAAACCTAGAATACAGTAATCAAATATCAAATTTTTCAAGCCAAATACGAGGTTTGTCAAAAAATATGAATTTTGCTCAAGAGTAAAGTACGTTTATTTTTGACAAAATTGAAAATTTTCATTAAGAAAAGTTGATTAGAATTGAAAATTACATTCAAATATGCAATTATACCGATCTATCTAAAAAAACAAATTTTCTACACATTGTGAATATCTGAAAACGTTATAAATTACGTTAGCTTTTGAAACATTCTCTCTCTTTTCTCCTATAAACATGATACGCTTTCCTTTTCTTGATGTTTGTGAAGAATTTAGCAATTTTCTTAATGAAAATTTTCGATTTTGTCAAAAATAAACGTACTTTACTCTTGAGCAAAATTAATATTTTTTGACAAACCTCGTATACGGCTTGAAAAATTTGATATCTGATGACAGTATTTTAAGTTTTGGTTCATGCAGAACTTTTTATGAAGAATAACTTTTTTTTCTAAAATTAATAAAAAAAAAGTTTTCCATATGATTCCAACTTAGGGGGACATACTGTATATTTTCGCAAATTCTTCAGTTTAATTAATTTAATTTATTTAATCCTTTTAGTTCATCCTCTAGTTATAGAAAGTTCAAGATATCTAAAGATAATTCCAGTAAAGAAGAAACGTACTTACTCAAAAAACAATAATTAAAATATCAAATACAATAATAAATAAAGCATAATAAATAGCATAGCTAGAAAACATAAAGATGTTGTATTCGTAATATCAATTATAATATTAATAATGTTAATTTGGTCGAAGAATAATAATAAATTAATTTAACATATAAATTCATAAACATGCAGTATAATATTTCTTCTGCTCGTTAAAAATATGGCATTTGTAGACATTTTTTTCATACTTTTTATTTATTATTAATTTGTATAGAAGAAAATAAGTTCCATTACTTAAACGTGACAAATTAAAAAATTAATTTAAAATAAAGCTTTATTTCATTAATATTTTTGCATACAGTTGGTATAAATCTTTCATTATTAGGTTATTTTTATTTTCACTTATTCAGCATTGTAAATAGTATATTTCCGTGAAGATATAGTTGTATTGAAAATACAAATTAAATATATAATTTACAGAAATATATATAGGTTTTTAGTAAATGAAAATGAAGAACAAAACTGCTGTTGTAAAGCCAAACCTTTTTGAACAATCTGTCATGTTAGTCAAATGGTTATTTAAATCCAACACAAATAGAAGCATTTTTAAACAGAATTCACCAAGAAATATTTCATCTGTTTTGAAAGATCTATTTGTGCGAAGAATGTAGTTTAATGTTATGAACCTTTACGGTTATATAATAATTAGTAGGTTCTTGTTATTATTAACGAGCTTACCTTGAAGAAAGTAGAACAAAAAATATACAAACCTGCTAGCCTGAGAGCGGACATCCGTTGAAACTCGGGTTCCTGTAACCATTTCCACATTCTCCTGAAGGTCTCTCTACCGGACTTCAGTTTCGACCAAGGCTTTGGATTCCTCAAGAGATCAGAAAGGGTTCCTTGCGATCGACACAGCACCCTTTGGGCGAAAATAGCCTGTGGGATGCTATACCGTTTCAATTCAGCGCTTATCCTTTGAGCTAGTTCTTTGGTGTTGATCTCCTCCACGTCTGCTGCTATCGCAGGAACACTGAGCGAACCAGTACTAGATGTTTTGGTGGTGATCTGCATTGACTGTTGCTGTTGAGATACCTGCGAACTTTGCAGTGTAACCACAGGAGGTGATGGGGAACAGTCTCTTTGCTGTGGAGCAATCTGCACTAAGGTAGGAGGGTGATTTTGTAAACCGAGTCCATTTAGGGTAGTAGAACTAAAACTGGTAACTAGGGTACCGTCAGGTGAGTTCAAAGACGCGGAGGGCGGACTTAACTGTGGGCTGTGTAACCGCGGCACCATGTCCCGCTGGTTACCATAAGGGGAATCGTAACTAGGAGGTGACATACTTTTCTGAGGCGACGGTAATCCGTTTTGGCTGTACGTACTTTGGGGGCTGATAGGAGAAGATTGTTGTTGCATACCCATGCCAGGCGAAGAGTAGTTGTGCGGTGGAGTCATACCCATGTTAGTCATCGTATATGGAGTGGTAGCATTAACTCCCAGGCCCAAATTAATGCTGCTGATAGTGTTGTTTTGCATGACGGTAAACGATCCAGTTACGTTACTAGCATGGCCGTACGCGAACTTGTCCGACATCGTTGATATGGGCGGCAAAGGTTGTAAGGGTGTTAGCGTGGCATAAGAAGAACTCGGGCTGTAAACTGGAGGCGACATTCTGCCGTTCACCGAGGTTAGAGTCTGGTAAGTAGGTTCGGGATTCAAGGTGCGGTAATCATTGTTGTCTATCATATTAGCCACGGTGACGGACCCCGGACTAAGCTTACCGGGACTGAGTAATTCCGAGTCCCTGGATTCTTCTTGAGGTTGCACAATAACGGAAAGAGGGCCATCAGCCTCTTCTTGTTTGACGAGACGTCTTTCGACCACGGCGCGTGACACGAGCCTCATACGGACGACCTGCGTCTCCATGCCACCGGCTATTATCGCATGCGCACTACTATCTGGAGAATCGACCGTTTGCTCACCTAATGCTTGCTGTTCTATCATGTTTCCAATATTTTCCATCATAAGGACGTCACCGAAGTGAAAGTGTCACCACCAGCCATGCCGAGTTGTTGCATCCAGGTAGTGATCCGGTGTTGGATCTGGCGCGATTTTGATGAGAGGGGAAATATAAATATAAAACTATGGCACTGACACTTGACTTTGACGGACAATTTCGGAACAAGGAGACTTTGATTGCCGCCGTTGCCGCCACCGCCGGACACGGGCACAGAATCGGGAACGACGCACTAACACTGAACAACAACGCAAACAGGAGCACGTCTTCGTCGTCGTCGTCGCCGGTTTCCTGGCGATTCCGTTTCGTTTTACGAGCCCCGAGGGGGCGGCAAACACATTGAGGACGAAGAGAACGGGAGCGACGACGACGACGTCGACGACAACACGAAATCATCCCCGTGGTTCTTTGCCACCATTATGATTGTTACTAGGTGTCAGTAGGCTACTCGATTCGCATGCTCGCACTCGCTTCGATTTTCGAGTTCGATTGGGCACCCCGTGCCCCGTGCCGTACTGAGTTTCGACTTTTAGACGGGCCGAATTTCGATTTGTATCCTCGAAAATTGTAACTCGCCAGCCGGTCGATACTGGATTGAATGGGGGAAGGCACGACGCCAGGTGGTTATGCGCGCGTTTCCGACTTCTTCTCCCTCGTGCTGCGCCTGTAGGCCGTCGCGCTACTCGACTTCCCTTTTCACCCTTCGCTCCGGTCTTCGTACGGCTTCCCTCACCCTTACCCATGTTTGGCCCATGCCCATACCCACGACGCGACGCGGGGACACACCGGCACCGGCTAACAGCCACTTTTCGCAGCGGCCCTCATAAATGATCCTATGTGGATTGAGTGGAGCAATTATTTATTTCAGTTCGAAATTAAAACTATTGCAGAAAAGTTTAGTTTATTCATTATTTATTTATACGCAGCAGACAACTACGATAAGAATCAAATACAAAAGCTTTTTAGAAAGAAATGAAAATAATATTTAGGTACGTTTTTTGTCACATCTTTATAGCCATGGGCGCCGTCAGAATATTTTCCAGTGGGGCAAAGATACAATTTTGTAAACCTTTTATAGATCAGAAATCTGAATGCTAATTATCGTCGTTTAAGTTTATTCCTAATAATTGGTAGACAAAAGTTGCTATTTTAAAACTTGAATGTAACTCTAAATGTTTTACATGTTGTAAATCTTGACCTTCTAAACAAAATCGTCTACGTCTATTACAAGTTTTATGATTTATAGAGTGTTGAAATTTCAAATTGGACAGTTTTTAAAATTGTATTCTTTTACAAATTATTTTGTTTCCAAGAATAATGCTTTACATAAAATATCAAACAATATGTTCAGTATAATCTGTGATGAAAATTATCATTAGTTACAGGATAAGTCACATATTACTGAAAATGGAATTTTAATTTTTATGGAAATTCTATAAATTAATGTCACCAATTTAAAAAAGTACCTTTTACCTGTCTCTCCCTATATTTTAAGATTTCGTCGATGACATTTTTTACATTACTAATAAAATATAAAAGTTATAATTAACTTTCTAATACCATTTTTTGAGTAATTATGAGATATACAACTTGATAATGACAGATATGAATAATTAAATATACTCGTTTCCGTCACCCCCTTTTAGGTTTAAAAAGTACTTACCTATTTTTAGAATTTCTGGATTTATATTATATTAAAAGGACTTTCAAATTTATTACTAATTTCTGTAGAAACAAGTGTTTTCTCGCAAAGATAAGCCAGATGTCATTTATTTAAGTTTAATGTACTTGTACCTGGCCTGGCTATCACCCAGACAATACAAATATGTCCATTGAACGTCCATTCGATATACAATTTTGGATGTCTAGAAGTCCAAAAATGAGTTTTTTCTGGACTTCCGACATCCAATGGACGTCCAGTGAAGTATAAAAATGGCACACTTTTGACCATTCAGAGGACGTCCAATTCTGGAGTATATTTGGACGTTGAATAATGGACATTCAAAAAACGTCCAGGATTATATTTCCATTGAGACCACATCCCCACTTTTTTTACAGAACCGCAACTCACCACACAGTATTTTGTATTATTAATAATTTGTTTATTATTTTCGCAAACAGCTATACACCATTTATTTTAATTAAAGATCACTTAACCTGAGCAGGGATTGAACTCACGACACATCCATTATCGTTTTATGCTTTCAATCGCTAGACGAGCTCGACCAAGGAACCACTTGAAAACTTTTTATTAGATATAGTTATAATGGAATAATATTTCAAACTTCCGCTGATAGAATGAACAATTATATTAAAAAAAAGAAAGTGTATATAGATGGGAATTATCTGGTAGGCTTAATAAATAAACTTACAATTAAGGCCAAAAACAGACGTTCTCTGGGTATCGATATTCAGCTGTCAAATTAATTAGCATAAACGGACGTACACTGGATGTCCGGATATGAACGTCCTGACCCTCAAATGAATCTAAAATGTACGTCCATTGGACTATGTGTGCTGCCTGGGCATAGACGAATTTTTAAAAATAGTACTTAAGTATGTACCAATATTTTCAAAATCAAATCCAGTATGATTCATTCAATGCCCAGACAACACACCAAATCCCAGAGATATCCACAGAATATATTTTGTGGATATCCAATATATCCACAGGATATCAGAAATATTCCGTGGAACTAATATAGATATCCAAATGTCCGTCTATATCCAGAATATAGAAGATATCCTATGGATATTCAGCAAAATATCTAATGAGTATCTCCAGACAATACAAGAAATCCCAGATATATCCATAGAATATATTTTGTGGATATCCAACCAAATGTCCGTCTATATCCCAGGATATAGAAATTCAGATAAATATTTTATAATTATTTTTAGTAGAGGTTCATAAGTAACCAATGGTTATTGAATAACGTCGAAAGAAAATAGAGGTAAAAAATATTCCCAACAATCTGCCTTTGATTTTGCCTACTAAGGAGAAAATCATCCTTATTAGAAATCTTCAGCAATAAATGGAACTTCTCGACTTCAATTTAGCCATAATAAAGGGATTTCGCCCACTTTGACCAAACCTAATTGAAACAAGCGGATTTATTATATTTTTTTAAATATAATTTTAAAATAAAATAAACAAAATCTGCAGTTCATTGTTTATTAAATTTATTTAAAAGAAGACAAACATATATTTCAGAAAATCCAATACCTACATATGAAAAATAAAATGTCAAAAATGATTAAATCATTATACTTAATATTTATACATTTGATAAAATTCTTAGTTTCCTAATAACTTTTTTGGCACATGTTATATCTGTATTAGCACAGGCCTGTCACTTCCTATACTTCACATGTTAAATTCCGGCTCAAATCTCAACGACCTCGGCACCTCTTCCCTATTGGTCTGGGGTATTTTTGACAAGTCTGGGGTCACCAATCAGCACGTTGGTTGCTGTCACATGAAAAAAAAATGATATCCTAAAAGTAAAAAAATATTCAGGTTTTAAACCACTTGAAGACAAAATTAGTGTGGTTATTTCAAAATTTATGTTATTTTTTTGGTTTTTAAAATAATGTTGACCTCGATGCCTTCTCCCTATTGGTCTGGAGTATTTTTGACAAGTCTGGCGTCACCAATCGGAGCGTTGGTTGTTGTCACTTGAGAAAAATGACATCTACAAAATTGATTAGTATTTTTGCATGATGTAATTTGTATTAAAAAAATACAGATCTATAACAAAATAAGTTCATAAATAAACGTTTGAACCAAAAAGAGAAATGATCAGAAAGCTAGGTTATATTAGATTAGATACATTTACCGCGTAAAATATTTTAAATTTTCAAGGTCACAGACTTTCAGATCGATTGACATTTGAGTGCGATCTCTTGTGTTAACTATACTCCTTGGTATTAGAATACCTAAGTGTGTAAAAAATCTTCATCTTATTACTACACAAAACAAACACCAAAAAATATATCACTTAACATTGCTCACGTACTAAACACAACTTGGACTGACTTTGACAGATATCATTTTAAGTGATACACAACTTATTTTCGCACATGCGCGTTTCAAAACGGCATACTGAAAACACCAAGCTGTCGCTTCTCCTTGATCGGTATTCTCGGGTATTACTTTGTAGTTAATTTATTGTTTGTATGGACTATACTTTCTTGTTATTTTTTTACATTTTGGAGTCCACATGCTTATTGTCATAGAATGGAGATCAGTGGACGGTTTTATTCAGAAATCTCCTATACCAGGAGGAGTAACTTTAATATTAACAATACCCATAATTTGTTTAATAAAATGTATTCAATTTATCAGTGATTTGGATATTAAATTAAAAAAAAAAACCGTTAAATAAAGTCTTTAGTGACTTCTGTAATTTTTCTCAGGATAGGTATAATAATATTTTCGCAAAGTATAATATTTTGCTCCACTCTAATTTCAGGATCATTTATCGAGTGGCACGAACTAGGTCGTTCTCCCTAAACCCCAAAACCCGACCACCGACGCACCATCAACTTCGTTTGCATTCGCTACTTTCTCGCCCTTTCTTTTTATCTCCTTACAGAGCCCGTAAGGGCACTAGCTGCGATCCTCGTCCTTTAATGTCACTATCCTTCTCTCCTTTTCGACTTCCGTGTGCTACGTAATGGGGTTCCCTGTACGGTATTTACCAGTACCGGACCATGAATAGGGTGCTGCGCAGTGTAAGGTCATTTCAGACAAAATTGTCACAGTCAAATGTAAATTCTATTTTACATCATTTGAAACTGTTAAATTGTTTGTATTGACTAAATAAATAAAAATGGAACATAAAACACTACTTATTAATGTTATTTTTCTTGAGTTGTGGTGTCTAAAAAATGGAAAAACACAAAGAAATTATAAACATTTGAATGTTTTTAGACCTTTTTAGTTTTTATTTATATAACTATATATGTAGAATAATAGTTATTTATGTTCCAAGACCGTAAAGTTGATCTTTTTTGGCCCATCTTTAAGTAATAAAATGTGTACATAAATACTAACGATAAATATGAAAAACTTGTGTTTATAAAAAGCAGCCAAAAAAGTTCAACTTTAGTAATGTAAATAAATTCGTAAAATGTCATTTTTTACATTACGTTTTAATATTAAGGTTGTAACGTTAAAAAAACGAAAAAATAGCGTTATTTATATTACGTTAATGTAAAATTATTAAGAATTAATGTTTTTAAAAGTTATTTTGCCATTACAATTCCGTGTTCACTTATGTAACTCGGAATTGTAAAAAATATATTTTTACAAGCCTATCTATGTAGGCTCATTGTGCATTCTCCAGGGGCATATAGGACGTGCCTCTGTCTAGAGGCAAGCATCTTCTCAGCTCATCAAAGTCATTCAAAGTTCTGCAGGTCATCAGGTCAGGTCATCAACTAATGTTAATGGTGGGCCGTATAAACTGCCAATAAGGCATATTGGAAAGCATTCGATAGCCGATACCTATTATTTTCATTTATTATTTGAATACCAAAATGATGCTATAATGGTAACTTACATTGATCATAGTAAAATTAAAAAAATGTGAATATTTTTTTAAGAATGGAGACAAAATTAAAATATAAAATTATAGACCTGTCTCTTTACTCTGTGTTTTCCAAAATTTATGAAAACATTATTAAATTGAGACTACTAAAGTTCCTTAATAGGCATAAAGTGTTATCACCACATCAATATGGTTTTAGGGAGGAAAAATCCACGGAAGATGCAATATATTCACTTACATCTATTATTTATAAAGCAATTGACTCCAAAACGCCAACTCTTTGCGTATTTCTTGGCATCTCAAAAGCCTTTGACACGGTGTGCCATAAAAAACTGGAGCAATATGGGATTAGGGGAATTGCATATAA